ATTTAAAGTTTAACATTTAAAGATAGTTACTAACAATTTAAGCTCTATTAGTTCATCTAAAGAGTTAGGATACCTTCTCCAGTGGAGAATTGAAGAGATTCTGAAGGGAGGGATGAGATCATCAAAGGCTCCTCTGTAGTGGTTACAAAGAGAATTTATCATTTTTTTTCTTTTGTTGTGGGAGTTCATAGGAAGAATTTTCTTGGCAAAACCAGGCTGCTGCTGGCAGCTGGTACCTTTTCAAAAGAGCCATAATGTCTTAATCCTTTGAATAGTGCTTTTTTGTTTACTGTCTATCCCAAAGCAAACTTAAAAGTCACTAAGTTTCAGCTAGTTAGATAGTCAATCAGGCAGGCTGAAGAGTAGATGGACTGATGCAAAGACAGATGATAGATTGTTGTTGTCAGGTGCCATTGAGCCAGGACCAACTCATAGTGACCTATGCACAGCAGAACGAAACACTGCCTGATCTTGGTCCAACCTCACTACTGTTGCCACACTTGACGCCATCAGTGCTGCCACCTGGCCAATCCATCTCGTTGGGGGTCTTCCTCTTTTTCTCTGATCCTCTATCTTACCAAACATGATATCCTTCTCCAGCGACTAGTCCCTCCTGACAATATGTCCAAAGTATGAGATACGAAGTTTAGCCATCTTGGCCTCTAAGGAGCACTCTGGCTGCACTTCTTCCAAAACAGATCTATTGGTTCTTTTGGCAGGCCATGGCACTTTTAGTATTCTCCTCCAACACCACAACTCAAAGGCATCAATTCTTCACGAAGAAATAAAACCAAACGTCTGTCTGTCATGCTGTGGTGGATTGAGTTGCTGTGATTCTGAGGGCTCTGCCACAGGATTTTTTAAATAACCAGCAGGGTCAGCCATGGTGGGCAGGTTTCAGATGAGCTTCCAGACAAAGACAGACTAGGAAGAAAGAGTGATGAACTACTTCTGAATCGTTAGTCACTGAAAACGCTATGAATAACAGAGATAATAGATAGATAGATACTTTACAGAGGCAGTTCTTTATATATACCCTATTTAGTACTACTTGTATGTTAATGACAAATTTTGCAATAATAATGAAAATTAGGATAATTGCTGAAAGTTAATATATTTCTGTATAAAACTACATCTTGTTAAAATACCAACTTATTGGAATGGGAATGATTTAGTGACTTCCAGATTCTTGCTTAGTGTACTTTTTATAGTCATGGATTTTCCTCTGGATTAGTATTGGCAGAGATAATTCCTAAGAGAATAACTCCAAAAAATATTTGGACAAAACGCCCCCAAAAATGAACTACTTATTGGTTTGAAAATGAGTCATCTGGGATTTCAAAGTGTGAATTAATTATTATACATTATATTTTTCACCTTTTTGTATTCCATTGTTGGTTTTCTTCTTTTTTCCAGCTCCCACCCATCTCAGAACACACATTATTCCCAGTTCTCTAGATAGTCAAGTAAAAAATGTAAGTGTTATTTTACATCTCAATCAACATTATTTCCTATCTGGCAGGCTACTGTCCTTAGCAACAACAGCAGAAACAAGCCCAGGGCTCAGTAATTGCAAGAAAGAATGATTCTTTTTTGATACAGGGGATAACCAATCTTTATGCCTAAAAATTGCTGCAATATGCCCACAGAACTGCTCAACTAGCAATTATTAACGTCTAATCATTTCCTCAATGACATCCATGTAATACACTTTCATATTAAGTCTACATTTGTTTTTGTAAATTTCCTCATTAGAATATCATACATCCCAGTAGAAAATTGTTTCAATATATACATCCACTTAACTTTTCAGCCCTAAAATTGCATATTTGGCTGATACTTGTTAATTTAAAACCCACTTGACTTTTCACACCTGGGAAATTTGGAAAGAACAGTGAAGGAGTCATCCAAAATCAACATCAAATATGAAGTTCCCTTTGAAAAAGATTAATGAAAAAATGGTAACTAAAATTCATTCTGAGTAATTTTAGCAACAGAGTAATTTTTCCAAAATCTTCAGTTTTGACATGAAAGGGTAATATTTTCTCTTAAAACAGCACTTATATTGAGGGAAAAAAAAGCTTCACATGCTTTTTAAAAGTTCTAAGTATTTTCCATACCTGGACTCCTGGTGTGGTGCTGCAGACTATTGCACTGGACCACAAGTTTGGTTTGAATCGTAAGGTCAGTGGTTCAAATTCACCAGCCTCTCCTCGGAAAGCCTATACAGCATAGTTATGAGTCTGAACCAATTTAACAGCACCTAACAACAACAAGTATTTTCCCAGAAGAGTAGAAAATCTTTATAAATTAGCATTGGGTTGAAGTATACAGAATTGAACAACATTTCATTCTGTTATGAATTGGATTTATAACATGAGACAGAGCTGACTTGACCACAACTAACTTCAGTAGGAAAAGGATGAATTATTTAATAAGCACAGCATATACAACAAATTACCTGTATAAAAAGAATAAATCTGTTACCTTGTGCCATGTACGTAGAAATATCTGACTATAAGAATGAATGCTCACAAATTAAGATTGGTAAATGTTACCATAAACAAAGCTAAGGGGAAAATAATGTTATTTGGGGGGAAAAAATTGCAACACAAATGACAGAGGGTTTAAACCTATATAGTGTAGGTTTAATAGAGCTCTTTCAATTTTCCAAGCCAGAAATAATACAGAAGAAACTAGTGATAATAAAACAGAAGAATGGAAGAGGTAATTTATAGAAGAGCAAATCTAAGTGACCAATGCACTTATAGAAACATGACTAAATGTTAGTAGTTTAGGAAATGTAAATTAATGTACCAATAAAGTCAGTATTGAAGGTGATAATACCTATTGCTGGTAGAGATAGAAGAAAAGAATACTCACATTGTTGTCTCTAGAAAATAGAATTTGTTGGAAAGAAATCAGGTAAGATTTTAAATTCAAATATATAAGGATAAGTAAAACACTTGCTATTAGAGATCAAGTTCGTACACACATGGGCTTATTCAACACAAAATAGCTTTACACATGATTTTGTGATCAATGGATGGCTGCAGAGAAGTTTTTCAGTAATACATTAGGCTGTTTTCATAAAAAAAGGTCCAATCAAAACAGTGGCTTCTGAAGGGATCTGCTGGTCTGTTTAACACAAGCCAGATAGGTCAGCTCACAAGGTTATGGCAACTATTTTTTGGAATTCCAAAAGGATAAACTTGATAGCTTTTCTTGAAGAACACAAGATGACAAGATGATCACAGGGGTGTATTAGGAATAAATTTTCAGAAAATTGAAACGTACACTGGTGACAAAAAGGCCTAAAAAGTTGTGCAATGAATTTTTTTTTTTTTTTTCCTTCAAGACAACGAATCAGATAATTCTTTGAGAGTAGTAAGGGCTATCTTATGAGAATTTCATTGGAAAACCTTACTCAATTCATCTTATAGCCTTGATCTTGCCACTTCAGACTTCTTTTTGTTTCCCAAACTCAAAGAATGTTTAAAGGGAACAACACAATTTGAGTCACTCAAGGATGCTGTAACTGCCATTTTGATGTGGGGTTAATTGAAAAACACAGAATTCTTCAGGGAAGGATTAGCCAGATGATATGCTGCCTTCAGAAATGTATAGACGTAGATGGAGAATATTTGGAAAAGCAATATTTTCACATTTTGATATCTTGTTTAGTAAAGTTGTTGTTGTTGTTGTTGTTTTTAATCAAATGTTATATGCTTCAAAAGAGATAGAGCAATTGAGAACTCAATGACCATGGACTGAGAAAGGCTGTATGCATACAAGCAGTAGGCTGGCTTGCAAAATGTTCCCTTTGGACATTTAAATGCATATATATTTTTTGTTTTATATGTGTTCATCAAATATTTTTGCTTTGTTCTTTTGTGAAAAATAAGAGGTAAAAAGGAAGCCACAGAGTGGGAGTAGGATTGAAAGTAAGGCTGATGATCTCGTCTGTTTACCTTCACTCAATTCACAATAAAATTTAAAAAAAAATAATAAAACAAAAAAAGTTTTATGCTTTGTGTATTTGCTTCAATCCAAAAATCTCACTCTTGGAAATATAACTTAAAGAAAAAAGCCAATATTATATAAAAATGTATTTACAAGAATAGTTGGAACATTATTTTGGACTTCAGAAAATGACTATCTTTAGAGAGGTAGTTACAAATGTAGCATGGACTATTATGAATTTGAGTTATGTTTTAGAATCAGGATTTATACCAGTGGTTGTAAGTGAAAAAAAACAAGTCATGATGTTGTAGAGTGTGTAATAAGAAAAAGTTTCTTGAAAAGACAAAATGTCATATATATATATACACTGTGTGCATGATGATTTGAATGTGCAGAAAAATGCAAGTATGTTTTCTTTTATGTCTAGCTCATTTCTTTCAGCAGTATGTTTAGACAAATCATTTATATTGTTGTATGTAGTTATAGTTTGCTAATTTTCTTTACTGTATAATATTCCATTGTGTGAATACATCAGTTACTTGTTCATTCTGTTGAAGGACATATGGATAGTTTCAAGTTCGTAGTTATTAATACTGCTATGAATATTTTTTACATGTCTTGTAGTATGCAAATTATACATTTCTGCTGGATATATATCTAGAAGTGCAAGTGTTGTGTCATCATGTTTGCATTGTTGTTGTTAGGTGCTGTTGAGTTGGTTCCGACTCATAGTAACTGTATGAACAGTTCTGTACCATCCTAACAATCTTTGTTACGCTTGAGCTCATTGCTGTTGCCACTGTGCCAATACATCTCATTTGTGGTCTTCCTTTTTTTCGCTGACCATCATGTTTGCAATATTGAATCCTTAATGTTATTTAATAAATAATGGCCAATTTTCCAAAGTAGTTTTACCAGTGTACTCTCACCTACAGTGTACAAGAATTCTGATTGATTATATACATGATTATAGAGCTAGTTTTTGAAACCAGTTTTCTGACTCCAAATCCTAATACTTTTCACCTTTCATCTAAATTTTATTTAAAGGTAAGCACTTGATAGGAATTTTCTTTGATAAATTCTAAGATTCTTTTTAAGATTGGTATCCTTTGTTCATTAAATGAGTTTCCACTGCTATACTGGAAAATACATCTGTGACGAATAGAATTTAGTAAGGTTAACAGTGTGTCAGGGGCCTCTTGGATATATTCTTCTTCACTGAGTCCAGCTTTTTCTATTTTTTCTGCATGGGTGAAAAGAATGGCAGTATAATTCTTCCAAGCATGTCCCAGAAGTTCCTGAAAAAGAGAAGAAGTTAAATGGCTATCTCTCTTGAGATGTATTCCTCAAAAAGTAAGCAAAGGAATCAAAATAGTGCTGACATATAAAATAAAATAATATGAAATAAAGGTGGGTTTAAATATGTGACTATTGTAAGAAAATGGGAAGGAAATGGATGAGCTGCTGGAAAAAAGCCTTTAGTTCTCCATTTAATTCTGCTATTTTAATTGCTGCATACCTCATCTCAAAATTATTAGTGCCATTTATTGTTAGGAGTCCTGGTGTGGTGCTGTGGGTTAATGTGCTGGACTGCAAAGTCAGTTTGAATCCCCAGGTCAGCGGTTCAAGCTCGCGAGCGGCTCCTTAGAAATCCTATACAGGGTTGCTATGGGTTGGAACCAACTTGACAGCACTTAACAACAACAACATATAGTTAAGTTACATTTATAATATTCTGTAACATTTATACTTCTGATTAACTTGAATTCATTAGAACCACTTTATTTCTTTAAGTCAAATAATCTAGGCCAAGATATATACATATATAGATATGTGTGTGTGTATTTATTTATTTATTGTTGTTAGTAAACGCCTTCTAGTTGGTTCTGACTCATAACGACCCTGTATGTGGTTTATGAGGAGCAGCTGGTGTATTTGAAATGCTACCTGATGGTTTGAAGTCCAATGCTGATCCTACAGGACCACAATAGGAGTTATATATATATATATATATGTATGTATGGACACACACATATATGGATTTCTGTTGTGGGGCTGTGCATTAATGCCCTGGACTGCAAAGTTGGTTTGAACCACAAGGTTGGTGGTTCAAGCTTACCAATCACTCCTCAGAAACCTGAGGTCACAAGGTCACTATGGGTCAGAACTGACTCAATGGTACTTAAAAACAATAACAACAATATATATGGATTATTAGCATCACCAAAACATTTATATAGAGCATATTTACAAAATTATGTGATGACACAATAGCAAAAAGATGGAGACACTCTAAGTGTCAATCAATGGAAGTATGGATAAACAAACTTTGGTAAATCCACACAATGGAATATTATGCTACCTTGAAGAATAACAAGGAAGCTGTAAGCCACCACATAGCTTGGATGAACCTTGAGGACATTATGCTGAGTGAAATTAGTCACAAAAGGACAAATATTGACCATTATTGTAAAAGTTTAAGAAAAGATACCCTCACTAATAGGAAAAAACAAAAAGAGGGAGGGGACAATGGAGCACAGTTAGGGGATAGACACATCATAGTTTGGATGTTGGGGAGGGCAATGCACAAGAAGGGGGAGTGGGATGGAAGAACAAGGTAGATAGGAGAACATTTAGGCAGGTTTGCATGGGCTAAATCCGACAGAGGTAAATAGTGATGTATGCTCAACCTTGGAATGACAGGGCTCTGTGATACAGGGATTGAGGCATAGTCTGAATCGGTAAAAGAGGGGAAATAATGTTAAGATGCTTGACTGTCCTATGAATATTGGTTTCCCTTGCTTACTTTTATAAAATAGACACTTGAGGGAAATAGGAGGAATATCCAGAAACATTATTTTAGAAAGCTTGTAAGCCCATCTTCAGCCTATAACTGACTGGAATACCTAAAGGGGTGCTAGAACTTGCCCAGTGAAAGATGCTCCTTGTAGAGCCTTTGTAGTGTATAAGACTTTAGGTGGAATCCCAATCCCCATTCAGAACCTTCTGAGGAGGGAAATTCCCACTTAAAAAGACAAGTGGACCAGCCTGGAGCAGCTAGAGGAACAGACGATAATTCTTGAAAGAAAGACTAGTAATGAAAAAAATCACAAACAAAAATGGCAGTCTGATTGGCTACAACAAGAACAAGCAAGTTGTTTGCCAGGGATCCAGCAAGGCAAGCAAACAAGTCCATTCAAGAAAAATCCTCTTCCAAGACTGAAACTCAAAGAGAATACACAAACAGGCATGTAAGCTTGCTGGAGACCATGTTGGTCTACTGGTGAGTGGAAGTGGAGAAAAGAAGCAATGAAGATGTGGGCTGAGTCTGACCATGATACATAGACTCCTGTCGACCTGGAGTATGGTAAGAGCTGGATGGCCTGAAGTATGGTGAGACCTGGGGACTCCTGAGCCCATGGACAAGGACATAGCCACAGAGGGCTAGGGCTGAGAGTGAAGCATCCAACTGATATGAAGTGAGGGGAGGTGCACAAGAATTCCCAAACTTGTAGATAGTACCCATTTGACCTAGCTTTGATGGCTGGATGATCAGAACTCAACTAGAGGAAGATTCAAAATTTGATAAAGAAAACAAGTGTAAATTGCTACAATTTGATGAACCTGATTTATAATTTTGGATGTAGTAGCTTAAAATACCAACTAAGAACATTGCAAAGTATGAGTATTCCAGAACACTTAATTGTACTTCTGAGAAATCTGTACCTGGACCAAGAAGCAGTTGTTCAAACAGAGCATGGGAACAATGAATGTTTTAAAATTGGGAAAGGTGTGCGACAAGGTTGTGTTTTTTCACCATACTTATTCAACCTTTATGCTGAGCAAATAATACAAGAAACTGGGTTCTATGAAGAAAAATGTGGCATCAGGATTGGAGGAAGACTCATTAACAATCTACGATATGCAGATGATACAACCTTGCTTGCTGGAAGTGAAGAGGACTTGAAATATTTACTGATGAAGATCAAAGAACACAGCCCTTGGTATGGATTGCATCTCAATGTCAAGAAAACAAAAATCCTCACCACTGGACCAATCAACAACATTCTTATAACGGAGAAAAGATTGAAGTTGTCAAGGACTTCACTCTTCTTGGATCAACTATCAACGTTCACGGAAGCAGCAGTCAGGAGATCAGATGACATATTGTATTGGGCAAATCTGCTGCACAGGAACTTTTTAAAGTATTGAAGAGCAGAGATGTCAGCTTGAGGACTAAGGTGTGCCTGACCCAAGCCATGGTATTTTCAATAACCTCGTATGGATGCGAAAGCTGGACAATGAATAAGGAAGATCGTAGAAGAATTGATGCTTTTGAGTTGTGGTGTTGGAGGAGAATACTAAAAGTGCCATAGGCTGCCAAAAGAACCAATAGATCTATTTTGGAAGAGGTGTAGCCAGAGTGCTCCTTGGAGGCCAAGATGGCTAAACTTCCTCTCTCATACTTTGGACATATTATCAGGAGGGAACAGTCACTAGAGAAGGATGTCATGCTGAGTAAGATGGAGGGTCAGAGAAAGAGAGGAAGACCCCCAACGAGATGGATCAGCCAGGTGGCATCATTGATGGAGTCAAGTGTGGCAGCGGTAGTGAGGTTGGCCCAGGATCGGACATTGTTTTGTTTTGCTGTGCATGGGATCACTATGAGTCGGTTCCAACTTGATGGCACCTGACAACAACAACAAGAGGGAAGGAATCTTCACAGCAATGATCATTCTTATCCCCTCTGTACACAGAGATTGGGATGGGCAACTTAAACATTGGTTACTTAAATGGTGGGGGTTGTGGAGGGCTGAAATGACATGAAGTGACTGGCTTACATGTTTTCAAGAGGGAGTTTAGTTTCAGAATGTGCAGGGGAGGGTAGAAACCCTACTGAATAGTTTTCATCATGTCTAAATGGGTCTGGTGAAAGGAGATGAGGATAAGATTCTTATGATTCAACACTGAGTAATTGTCATCATGACTAATTGTGAATGCCACAACTGTAAAGATAGAGGTTTTGTAGCAAAAAGGGAAGAGTAGTTAGTCTTACACTCCTGGGACCATCAAGGGAGATGATCAGGAGCAGATTGTGGGACCCTATCCAAGGAAGCAGAGGCACCAGAGATGGAGGCAGAGATGATGACATGGAGAGATGGAGCAGCTGAGGACTCTAGACTCATGAAAGGTGAGGGGCTATGTGCTGATAGTCATGGGGCAGGCTTGCAGAGTATGCCCTTTGGTTATTTGGATGATTGTACATACCTAAGTGTTTTGGTGTACATAAAAAAACAAAAAAACAAAATAAAACAAACCCAGAGGGAATAGAGGTACTGCTGAATGATGATACATGGAGGGGATTGCAATCACTGCAGTGAAATGAAATTCATTAGGATGAATGTAAAATTGATGTTCTCCTATATAAACTATCACTCAATTCACAATAAGAACATCAAAACAAATTATGTGATGACAATCCATTAGTTAATCAGCCCACATGCAATGGTAATGCTAAGATGAAAATATATTTGGTGATTTGGCACAATTACAAAATACTACTGTGATCTTCTCACTTCACAAGCTTAGAATCAAATATAATTTATCTTTGTTTGAAAATATGTAAAATTGGTTGTGTAATAAATTTTTATTTGATTAGTGAAAATATGCTATTATAAAGCAGAAATAACAGAATGTGATAATTTTTTCATGCAATATGAAAGGCATGTAGAAATAATCATTTAACATTTTTGAGTAATTTCAAAGTTATATGAAATCATAACAAATCCTCTATTCCAAATACTCCTATTACCAAAATATTTCCAATGGTCCCTCCTAACAAAAAGTCTAAAGTACCTGAGATTGTAAGAAGCATTGTGGCTATGCTTTTACCATGCTATATTTGTTCATTCTCTAGCAGAGTATTCAATATTATTTATAGGACTATAATTCAGCAATTCTCCTTTGGCGTTCTTCATTGTCCAGCTTTTACATGTATAGAGGTGATTGAAAATTCCATGGTCAGATGCACCTTAGTCCCTAAAAGTGACATCTTTACTTTTTGACACTTTAAATAGTTAAATATTATTTTTTAAAATGTGCAAAGACCTTGAGTTAGTACACCAAAATGGAAGAACATGTTCAGTATTTCTCAAGATAAGGGAACTGAAGAAAAAATTCAAGCCTTAACTTAAAATATTGAAGGATTCTATGGGCAAAATATTGAATGATGCAGAAAGCACCACAAGAAAATGGGAGGAATATGCAGAATCACTGTACCATAAATAAATGGATGATG